AAAATCTCTGTAAATGTTTATGAAAATTAATAAAATATAGAAATAAAAAAGGAAAAACTTGAAGATTTTTGAACATGACCTGTTTCAAGACTCCAAAATTCTTCATGGTTCAATGATGATGTGATTGTCCCATAAAAGTTTCTATGTAAGCTTTTATTATATTTGAGTACATAATGTTTTCTTAATGGTATTTAAGAATTGACCCATATCAATCTTCCAGTGGGTTGTCAAAGGCAGTTAATCAAACGGGAAGATTTGACCATCCTACTTTGAATCAGCTGGTGGGTTTGAACCACATCCCTTCAGGACTGCAGCACAGTTTATTATCCCTAGGCCACCAGAGTTTCATGTGTCGCTAGTCAGTTCGTAAATTTACTATTCATCCTGCAGTCTGGTAATGGTATTCTAACTTGCTTATTTTTGACAAAATACATCCATCAATGTATTATCTGATTAAAGGTTTGATTAAAGTATTTAACTTTTTTTTAATCTTTCTAATTCAAAGAAAATGTGGACGCCAAAATTAAGTACATGCCATTTCATCTTTGTTGCGTAGACGAAGAAGACTGGAATTATAAGATGCACATGAATTTCTACTTTCTTTCCACGTTTTTTCTTCATTAAAAAAGATGTAACAGTTGCATTGGTACCCAATCCACTTTTCTGGACACGAACAACAGTCAAACTCTACGAGAAAACAAATATAATATGATTGATGATACTGAATATTTCAAAGTTTCAATTTTTTTTCCTCATTAAAAGTATTTTTTTATTTATTCATATTATCTACAAATATTATTTGAGATTCTACTATATGTGTGGGTTCTGGTATTCCCATTCTTCTCAGAGTCAGCCACAGTTTGTTATGATCCACACAGTTAAATGCCTTTGCATAATCAATGGAACACAGATACACATTCTTCTGGTATTCTCTGCTTTCAGCTAAGATACATCTAGCATTAGGTACAATATCCCTAGTACCACAACCCCTTATAAACCCAGCCTGGACTTCTGGCAGTTCTCTGCTG